GCCTCCGCGGCCGACACTACACCTCAGCCCGCGTCGCCGCCCCAACGAGGGGCGGCGAGTGTCCTCCACCCGTGTCACCGCCGTGGCGACCGGTGGCTGACTAGGATCATCCAAGCCTCGACGAGAGGCTGGCCGGCCGAGAACTAGCCAGATCCCGGCAAGGGACCGGCTGGCTGCCTCCTTTCGCAGCTACGCCCGGACCGCTGTGGCCACTGGCAATACGTCGGGACCGTTCGACACTCCCAAAAACGCACCAGAATAGAGACAAACCACAAAAATTTGGTTCGGGCAAAATGTCGAACAGTTGGTGCGCGCGATGAAAACGACAGATTTTAGGCTCGATCGAGGCTCAAAAGCATCCAAAATTCACACACAACAATGCACAGACAAGTAGGATCGAGCTCGAGGTGTCACGGGCCGGAACTCGCGCGAGCCGGACGGCCGCGAGCTCCGGTCAGTGAGCCCAAGACAAGACCAAACGGCAGAAACAGGAGAGGGGGCTGTGGCACTCCCTATCCGGCTCGGCGGCGGCGAACAGCGGCGAACTTGACAGATCGGACTACGTCCGGTCGCCTCGCACGCCTCCAAGCCGAAATCCTCGGGAAATCGGCCCCGGGTCACACGAAACAAAACCCAACAGTGGCTCGGATTCGTCACCTACAGCATGGAACGGGATGCGCCGAAGCGTCGTCGGCCACGGTTGAGGCGTGACGATCGCGAACAGGAGACCGTTCGCCCCTCAGATCTCACTCTCCGACACTCTCGAACTCACTCACTCTCTCTCTCGGATTTCTCTCTCTCCCCAGCTCTCTGTTCTCCCCAATTTTTCTTTCTCTCCTCGGATTTAAGGACGGCCAGTGGCGCAGAGCCGGTCGGCAGGCGTGCATGGCCCCTGCCACCGCCAGCCTGCCATGGCCGGCCTGCTCCCGACTCGAGGATCACGCCGTCGTGCCCCGCGCCCCTCTGGCTTCTCTGTTCTTCTGCACTGTTCCTCCCCCGTACGTTCTGAAACGTTAACTGGGGAGGGGGGAGATGAACAGACGCAGGCCGGGCCGAAGGAAAGAAGGCCGGCCCGCATGGGAAAATGAAACGGGAGGAGAAGATAAAAATGGGCCGCATAAAAATAAAAAGAAGTAGAAAAAAGAATGGGCCGACGAACCCGGCCCGAAAATCTTTTTTTTTCCTTTTTTTTTAATTATGTGTCCTAATAGGCCCTATTAATGCAAATGTGCCTAATGTCTATATGCCATGTAATTTAATGAAAATATTTTTTGTTTAGTGGTTTAAAAATTAAACCCTAAATTTTTTTTATGCGATAAAACCCTAAATGATTGGACAAAATTTAAGTGTCAACAGCTGCCCCTCTTTGAAGGGGAGCTCGAAGAGGTTCCTTTCAAAGATAAGAGACACTTAAATTTTGTTCACAGAGGGCATGGGAAGATGCATGAGAGATGATTGATTTTTTTTTGATTGATTTTTTTTTACCCGCCATACCTTGTAAGAACGGGCTTTCGAGTACATGAAGTCTTGTTATGTAAAGAAGGAAACTCTGGGCTGCGAAAGCTCACCAGATCAATGGGGTACTCCGGGTTGCAAAAACTCACCGGATAAGGAAAGAGAAAGACTCTGGGCTGCGAAAGCTCGCCAGGTCGATGGGGTGTTCCGGGCTGCAAAAGCTCACCGGGCAAGGAAAGAGAAAGACTCTGGGCTGCGAAAGCTCACCAAGTCGATGGGGTGCTCCGGGCTACGAAAGCTCATCGGGCAAGGAAAGAGAAAGACTCTGGGCTGCGAAAGCTCGCCAGGTCGATGGGGTGCTCCGGGCTGCGAAAGCTCACCGGGCAAGGAAAAAGACAGACTCTGGGCTGCGAAAGCTCGCCAGGTCAATAAGAGTGCTCCGGGCTGTAAAAGCTCACCGTGCAATTCTGAGGCTGTAAACCTATCAATCAAGAAGATTCCGAAATGGCCACTGCACATCTAACGGAATATGTTATAACAGATGTCCTGGTAGGGAAAGCATACCAGGCGAGATTGATATCATTCAGACGTCATGAAGGACACTATCAAAAGAATAGCATCACTGACAAAGTGTTGATTGCATGAGCAAATCAAACTAGTTTCAATTGTTTAGAAAACATTTAGCATCATTCATTATCACAAAATTGCTATTAGGCTTAGGAAATGTCATTAATCATCAAATTCTCTTAGGAGATAAACCTCTGTCAAAAAGCCCTTGGCTCATGAAAAGGGTTCGTTAAATATGCCAAACAAGAGTTCTTTAGTCAGAAAGGGCTTCTCGCAAGCTCTCAAAGAAGACTGTTTGCTCCCATCCATTGATGCGGGAGATAGGCATGTTCTCTCTATATACCTCACACTATCAGTGTCAAAGGCTTCGAGGATCATTCGCAATAAGTACACATGACCAACCGGAGAGGTCTTTTAAGGACTGTAATGCAGGTTTGGTCTTGGTTTCAACAAAGGATAAGTATTATCGGCTAAGAAATGAAATAATTGTGGATCATCATCTCCGCCAGGCTTACAAGTCAAGAAACCTTAAGATGAGATAAGATAACCTCGTCCCCACTTTTCAAGCCGTAGCTTCTTTGGAAGTCCAAACTTCTGCTCGAACCATCCCAATTAGAAGAGACTTTGGAAAGGGTTGTAACATTGGTTCGGTTAAAGACTCGAAAGGCTCGGGTTTTTCAGAAAAGATTTAAGAGCTGTTGATTATCATGGTGTCATTACCATATCATCTTGCCTTTTCAAAAGGCGCATGACTCCTTAACTCGTCTCGAGAGTCCATCAGCAAATCATTTCAACATAAGAGCTTTGCTCTTTTTCCAATGCAAGCATTTTTCTTTTGACACCTTTTTTTTTTTAACTAGCATTGGCCTTGCTTTTACCGGGCACACTGTTTTTTTATGCCCCTTAGCTTTCTTTTGCTCATTTGAACCTTTTAAACTCTCAGGACTTTCGATTTTTTTTATTTTTTTTTACGTTGTCGCACGAGTGCCCATTGCTTTGGAAAATCATGTGCCTTGCCCCAGTCTGGGGAAATAATCGCCACTCGGGCTTTTGAAATGAATGTTCAGGCTCAACTTGGCTAAACAAAGGGTATGAGTGTTTGGGTAGAGGAAGAAATGCTCTTCTTCATTTTGGGATGCTTCGAGCTGCCACAAGGATCGACCTGAAGTTATCACAAAACGATTGATGCAAGTGAGAGCAAATAAATCTTTCTCATCTTTTCCTCCAAAGAATGTCAACCAAAACCTCCAAGCTTGCCCCATTGTGGGGTGGTTCTTGACAGGGGTATTTTGTAGAAATTCTTCACATGAGAAGGCTCGAAGGAGCTTAACTATGAGTACCCGTAGTGTGTAGGATAGATGAAAGAAATGCCTCTTTTCATTTTGATCCATGTACAATTTGCGAATGAATCTCTCGCCCTAAAACACGATTTTTGCACTCAACTCACAAAGTGTTTATAGGACGTGTTTGGGAATGGTTCGCCTTTCTTCATTCTAAGTGCTTCTCGCTTGGCATGATTAACATATTTCCTCTTGTTTTGTCAAGATCACCTGAGTTGATTGATCATCATAGGGAATTTTGATTCAAAATGAATGTTCCATCAAGCATCAAGACAACTTTGGACAAGGATGATATTCAAAAATTTTGTGAAAAGTTTATTTTCACAGTTTCAACTTTTATAATTGTTTTTTCAAACCTATCAAAAACCCTTTTTTTTTTTTAAAAAAACAAATTTTCCATTCGACTTTCTTTTGGTATTAAGAAAAAGGGTACTTACCTGCGGCCTAATGGCTTGGTAACCCCCTCCTTCGCATTTGGCTTGTTGGATGCTTGCCAAGACAATTCAGTCGTTTATGGATCAATTTGCGGATTGTTTGGGACCTACAAAGTAAACATGTGTGCATGTATGCATGATATGCATGATGTGAATAACCTACAGTGATTCGGATTGCATCGAAAATGGCTCTCGGGCCTTGGATTTCATTCAAGGAAAATACTTTTCACCGAATCGGCGTTTACAGGCTTTGGCAACTCTTGGCCATCCATTTCAACAAGAATTAAGGCACCCCCAGGTAGAACATTTCTAACGACATACGGACCATCATAATTTGGGGCGAACTTTCCACCTAATTCGGGTGTGATGGACAGCACTTTCTTTAGCACGAGATCTCCAGCTTCAAAATGTCGAGGCCGGACTTTGCGATTGAAGGATTTTGCAACTCGCTTTTGGTAACATTGACCATGGCATAAAGCCTTTAGTCTCTTCTCATCGATCAAGTTCAACTGATCATATCTCTGTTGAGTCCATTCTTCCTCAGAAAGCTCAGCCTGTGAGAGTATCCTTAATGAAGGAATTTCGACTTCCACGGGCAAAACCGCTTCCATACCATAAACGAGCGAGAAAGGAGTCGCCCCTATCGAAGTGCGGATCGAAGTTCGATACGCCATCAATGCATAAGGCAGACGTTCATGCCAGTCTCGATAATTATCGGCAGTCTTCGACAAGATCTTCTTTATGTTCTTATTGGCTGCCTCCACGGCTCCATTCATTTGCGGGCGGTAAGGTGAGGAATTCAGGTGACGAATATGAAACTCGTCGAGTAAGCCATCCACCACCTTGTTGTTCAGATTCGAGTCGTTATCAGTAATGATCGCCTCTGGGACTCCATAGCAAGCGATGATGTCACGGCGAATAAACTTGGCTACATTCTTAGCGGTGACATTGGCATATGAGTTCGCCTCGATCCACTGGGTGAAGTAATCGATGGCTACCAAGATGAAGCGATGTCCATTGGAAGCCTTAGGATTAATTGGCCCAATCATATCGATCCCCTACATTGAAAAGGGCCATGGCTCGGACATTTGACGCAATTCATTTGGCGGTACGTTGATTTTATCTGCATAGATTTGACACCGATGGCAATAACGAACATGCCGAATACAGTCAGCTTCCATAGCCATCCAGAAGTACCCCAGTCTCATGATTTTTTGGCCAAAAGATGACCGTTCATGTGCGGACCGCATTCGCCCTCATGTATTTCTCTCATCAAGTGACTAGCTTCTTTGGCATCGACGCATTTCAACAAAATTGAGTCAAAGGACCTCTTGTAAAGAGCATTGCCACTGATGAAGAATTTCGACGCTAGCTTCCTTATGTATTTCTGATCTGTTAGTTCACTTCCAGGAGGATATTTACCCCTTTGAAGATAGTTCATGATGTCGTGATACCACGGCTTCTCATCAGGTTCATCTGCGATCGCCGAACAGTAAGCCGGACATGTCAGTATTTCGATTTTCAGTGGCTCAATGTCTAACCCTTCCATGACTTGTAGCATTGATGATAACGTGGCTAGGGCGTCGGCAAACTGATTCTGCGATCGGGGTAAATACTTAAAAGAAATCTCCTCAAATTCCTTTATTAACTCCTCGAGAAATTCGTGGTAAGGAATCAATTTGGAGTCACCGGTTCGCCATTGGCCCTCTGTTTGAAGAATGATGAGGGCAGAATCGCCGTAAACCTGCAGCTTCCTAACTTTCATGTCGACGGCCAATTGCAATCCCAGTATGCAAGCCTCGTATTCTGAGATATTGTTGGTATAAGGGAATACCAACTTGGCGGCCACAGGGTGATGTTGACCCGTCAGGGAGATAAGAACTGCCCCAGTCCCAGAACCAACCAGGTTAACGGCACCGTCGAAGTACATAGTCCACTTATCACCCACTATCTCTGAAACGCGTTCCTCTATGGGATCTGATTGATCATGGTCTTCCGACCTTTCGACGTTTTCTGCCAACATGTCAGCTATAGCTCTTCCCTTGATGGATTTCTGCGTCATACTGTGGACGTCGAATTCGGACACCAGAACTTGCCACTTTGCTAACTTTCCGACCAACGCAGGTTTTTCCAGCAAATATTTGATGGGATCATTCTCAGTTACGAGCAAGATCCAATGATGGAGTGTGTATTGGCATAAGCAGTGTAATACCCACACCAAAGCCACACACGTTTTTTCAACTCCTGGGTAATTTATCTCGGATGAAGTAAACTTCTTACTGAGATAGTATATCACACATTCTTTGTCATCGCTTGGTCTCTTTTGGGCTAGCAAGGCTCCCAACGATTCATCATGAATGGTCAAATAGAGTATCAATGGCACTCTGGGGACAGGTGGCACCAGGACCGGCGGATGAGAAAGATATTGCTTTATTTTCTCAAATGTCTTTTGACAATCGGTATCCCATTTAACTTTGGCGTTCTTCTTCAGGAGCTTGAAAAATGGTTTAGCAGTCTCAGACAATTGAGAAATAAATCTCGCCACATAGTTCAGTCTCCCCAGCAAACTCCGAACCTCTTTGACAGTAAAAGGAGGCTTCAAATCACAAATGGCCTTAACCTTCGATGGGTCAATTTCAATGCCTCGACTACTAACCATTAACCCCAATAATTTCCCAGACTTTGCCCCAAACACACATTTGGCGGGGTTAAGTCTTAGTTTGAACCTTCGAAGTCGGTCAAACAACTTCCGCAACACCTCGATGTGGTCCTCTCCATGTTTGGACTCAACGGCTTGGACTCCTCGTGCCGAACCCAATCTTGTTCGATGCTTTTCCGATCACGGTCATCCTTGTCGTCATCGGTCCCAGAGGAATTTTCGTCAAGTAAATCCGACTCACATATACACCTATCATGATCATGTGAAATGTTATGCCTAAGATGCCACAAAGAAGGTTAGTGATTAAATTGGCAAATGTTATTACAACTAATGATATGCATGCGTTTTGAAATCATTTTGAAAGAGTCTTTGAAAATGCAGGATCCGTCCTCATATCCTTAGACGTCCCTATTCGCAAATAATTTCGGAAACTAGGAAGCGTGCGGAAGTCTAGACCTCAAAGCATCATCATCAGTCTGGTTTGGGTACTTCCACACGTTCTTAATAAAACATGATCATGATTTCATTAACAAGATGAGGTCGTTTACATGACTCGAGGTATGGGACCGACGGCTCGCAGTCCAAGACTTTGATTACAAAGAGAAACAACCCTAGACCTAAACAGGCCTCCCATGGAAGGGGTGAACATAAACTTAAACAAAGCGAAATAGGAAAGAAAAGCGGCATCCCTACTCGGAAGGGTTGGCGGTGGCAACATAAGGCTCGGCCTCTTCATTTTCTGTGATAGCACAAGCAAACTCCCCCTCGAATAAATCAACGAGACCAAGAATGGCCTCCTCTTACTGTAGCAACTTGGGTGGACCCGGGAAGATTTCCTTCAACTCCGGAAGAAGTAAGCCCTTCCGACCTTCTCCTAAACCAAATAAACTCCCATGACCTCCGCAACTTCCATGATTAGCTAGGCCTCCATAGTCATCACGGTCTTTATTGCTTCCTTGGCCACCATAATTAGTATGGCCTCCACGACCACCACGGCCCCCATGCTGACCTCGACCTCCAATACTGCCTCGTCCTCCATGGTTATCTCGGTCACCAGAATTGCCTCCATGATAACCTAGGCCTATCCTTTTGCGCCACTTGGAGACCTGAAGTGGTTCTTTGATACCTTGTCCATGCAGTCCCAGGCCGGTTCCGGGGACATGACCATTTTCGAGCAACACCTTTCTCGACATGATTGAAGGCTTAGCCATTTCTAGGTCTCGCGTGATGGTTCCAACGGGCACATGGACCATCGAGACTAACTCCAAAGTTTGATAACTTGATTTAGCCTTGTTCTCGGGTTCTACGTATGGGATCGCAGTGTCGTGAAAGACCTTAAAATCAGTTTCTCCATGGACAGTTGCTAGCTTCCCATCCACGATGAATTTGACCTTTTGGTGCAAGCTCGAGGGTACGGCTCCAGCGATATGTATCCAAAGTCGTCCGAGTAGAAAATTGAAGGCACTAGGAATATCTAGGACTTGGAAGCTGACCAGAAAAAGGACTGGACCAATTAGCAGTTCAAGCTCAACCTCACCAATTACTTCCTTCTTTATACTATCAAAAGCACGAACGGTAGATTTAGATACTAACATTTTCTCTTCATTTACCCCCAGACGACGAAGGGTGGCAAGTGGGCAAATGTTTAATGCCGATCCATTGTCAATCAGCACTCTCGCCACCATTCTATCACGACACTTTACCGAGATGAGTAGCGCCTTAGTATGATTGCGACCTTCCGGAGGAAAATCTTCATCGGCAAAAGAAATCTGATCTTTCAGCAAGATAGACCCAACAAACTCCTCCAATTGGGTGTCATCGATGGTTTCGGGGACGTGCACTTCATTTAGAACCTCGAGTAGTGCATTTTTATGTTTCTCGGAAGATTTGAAAAGATCCAGGAGTGATATCTGGGCCGGCATCTTCCTCAGCTGATTGACAACATCAAATTCGCTAGTCTTAATAATTGCTAAAAACTGTTCGGCCTCTTCATTTGAAACAGCCTTTTTCTCAACCACCTTGGTGGGATCATAGAATCGACCAGAGCGAGTGACAACACCGATTTCATTCACCTTGTAACTCCAAAGGACTGCCTTAGCATCGTAACTAGGGGCCATTTCCACTATTATGTCTTCCTCGTCCTCGGGTGGGAATTCAATAGCCATCGGTTCCGCGGCATAATCCTCGATTTCTAGAGTAGTGAACTCTTCGGCCATAAGGTCGATGACTACACGCTCGGCATCTCGTTCATCGAGATCTGATAGATCTTCTTCGACTGATAGGTCGATGACCATGGCGGTGATCATGTTGATCGTCTCTTCCTCAGGCTCAAATGGGTCGTCCATACCTCCCCACCCATCAGGAACAACATCCTTGGGATCAATAAAGAAACTGGGTGGCGGTGAATACTTCACAAGATAGTCGAATTTGCCGCTAGGTTGACCCAGTGTGTCAACCACTTTCCCATTCTCGTGAGCGAGCTTTATGAACTCATGATTCCAATCCACATTGCTAGCTTGAGGCCCAAGATCATCGTACGAATACTCTCCTTCACTGTCGGTCACAATTAGACTCTCTGACACACCCTCATTAGTTGGCTCGTTCGTTTCTATAGGTTGAGCAGGTGTCTCCTCCGACTCCTTCTCATAAAATGAATCAATAACAGCCGTCATGGCCGTCATACTATCTTCCTTCATACTATAGATTACTCCCATGTCCACCATCCGACTGATACATTTCAATTTTTCTTCCATCGGAATATCCTCCCCATCTTCAAAGTGTCCAGCTGACACTAGTAATTTATAGAGTCTATGAACATCCACATTAAAGGTCTGCTCACTCTCACCACCCTTCTCAATAACCACGTTGACATTCTTAGCATGGTTAGGCAACGGGTTTTGTTGAACATTAGGGGTTGGATCCTTAAAGGATAAAATGCCTTTGTCGAGCAGATTCTAAACCTTGATCTTAAGAGTGAAGCGGTTGTCCACATCATGACCATTTTCGCCTCTATGGAACTCACAGGACTTTGATAAATCAAACCCGGGGAATCTTGGAGGATTATTCCGAGGCACTTCTTTAGCTATCATCCCCCTTCTCAACAGCATGGACAACAACTTGGATAGTGGCCTAGCCAGGGGAGTGAACTGCCTCGGTGCTCTCCTTTTAAATTCATGCTTCTGATATGCCCTCTCTCGAAACACATGGGGGCCTTGAGAGGATAAGGCAAGGGGCTTCGTCGCAACTGGCGCTTGTACATATGCGATCTCCACATCCTTTTCTTTTCTATTCGGGACCTTCCGACTAGTCCCTTCGTTCAATCTACCATCGTGCATGGCCTCCTTTATCCTCTCTCCGACATCTACCAGCTAAGAGAAGGTCAAGCATCCAGAACCCACCAACTTTAAATAGAATTCATTAGGTAAGGCTTTGAGGAAAAGATCCAGTAGCTCCTTTTTCCTGAGCGGGGGTCGAACTTGAGCGGCGAGAGTACGCCATCTTTGAGCGAAGGCTCTGAAGGACTCACTTCTTCTCTTTTCAGTTCGAGTCAACACTTCGCGCGTAGGGGCTATCTCGGTATTGTACTTGTATTGCAGGACGAACGCCTCAGCTAACTCCTCCCACTTCTCGAACTTCTCGGGCTCCGACAACACATACCATTGCGATGTAGGCCCCGTCAGACTCTCTTGGAAAGTCTGAACCATTAATGGGACATTTTGGGCATACCTCGCCATCCTGTTCAAATAATACTTCAAGTGGATCTTTGGGTCTCCAGTCCCATCATACTTAGTGAAATCGGGAATCTTGAACTTCTCGGGAAAGCTCATCTGTGCATATCGAGACAGATCCTCGATCATGTGCTCTTCGTATCCTCGTAGCACACGGAGTTTCTCTTCTATCTTCGTGAATCTTTTGTTGTGTTCTTCCTCCAAACGGGCGGTGACGGCTTCCGAAGTAGGGTCTAGTTCGACCACTACAGGTGTAGAACCTAATGCCTCCTCAATAACATTTCTTCTCACAGGTTCTTCTACGGGCTCGGGGACAGCTTAAGATGCGACTTGACCAGCGTTTGGTGCTGCCAACGCGGCCCTCATATCATTGGCGAATTGAGTGAGCTGAGTCGCAAGATCATTGACCTTGTCGTCGAGAGCGGCGAAACGGGCGTTTTGCTCCTCAATATTCATTTGTGCGGCCCTTGATCGTGTTCGAATTGGCGATTGCCTCGAAGCCGTAGCTTTGACTTAGTGGAAGAAAGGAGTGTTGGCGGGCCGTTAGATTCGGTGTTGATACAGTGATTGTCGGAAGGAGTCACTCTCCGGCCTCTTGGTTTCTCGATTCCTCTCTTTGCGTGTTGAACGAGCTCAAATACAGACAATTTGTGATCACCTGAATCATAAATAAGCGAGGATACATAAGTGCATGATTCATATAGAAGACCGGTCCATGACAATGGTCTAGTCGCTTTCATTGATTCATTAAACAGTTCTTAATTGAATAACACTCCTAAACTCGAAAAGTAAACTAGGAATTGAAAACTCAAAGACCCTAAACATCAAGCTAATAACACTAAGAAAAGAAAAGAAAGGAACATAAAATCCTAAGACAAATGAACTTAGAAAATGAACTCGTCATGTTCTATATGCGAATGGGAAGCCAATACTCGACGCAATTGCCTATTCTCCTTAGCAACACGCTTTAGACTTCCTTCAGCTTTCTCTGCCCTCCTCTTAAGATAGTTGATTTTCGCTTAGCGAGTTGGCTTCTCTGTCACATCCGGGATCTTTGGGAGGAACTCGGTCGGGATCTTATGCCGACGGATGTATCGGGTCGTAGCACAGTATGCCTTTTCCTTCCCTTCGAGCTCGTCTTCGGGCCAATTTAACTTTCGAGCACGGCAGGCGAGCCAGGCTCGTTCAACACGGCGAAGCTCTCCTTTGTAATCTTCTTCCTTTCTAACAAATCAGACTTGAAACGAATCCAGCTTGAGAGGAGGCGATAGA